TGGTTTTTTATTACACCAATATCCTAATAACCCTCAAGGTTCGTTTATGGTTTTATGGCCCACCTAATCTTTTCTTTTAATCTGAATAGATTTTTCCTTTTCAATAAAACAAGATCTACAGAAAGGACTGAATACTAGTTTTTGTCTACCTCTGCTACACTTAAAACTTTCCTACATATATATTTAAACTTGTCTTATCATCTTTAAATGTTTCATTATGAAACAAATAGAATGTATTTTGATATTATACCTAAATAACGTTAAACCTTAATAAAAATTCTCTTTTAAATGTATTAGCAATGGCATCGAACATGTGTTCAATAGCTAGCATTATAATTCCAGGTTCATTTAAACCTCCCATCATAGTAAACGTCTTTTCAGAACTTGTTTGACCATATGCAATAACTGTTCCATTAAAACCATTTACTGCTGCATCAACAATAGGTTTTATGACGGTGTCAAATACATCTTTATTTGAAGTTGTCTCATCAAAGATGTGATCTAAAAATGTAATATTAAAATTTATAACTAATGGTAAATAATTGCACAAGACAAATTATATACTTTTAATAAATAAATAAATAAATATACGCATAAGAGTTAATACCAAAATTAAATCCACCGTCTCCACGTTTCCTCATCTCTTGATCCGTAGACGCTATATAATTTCCTTCTACTGTCCTTTGCTTTGGAAGATTTTCTTCTTTCTCTCTTTTAATCAAGGGTCTAATCTTGATGGCAACTTTAATACTATCTGAAATTTTATTAGTTTTTATTTAATATTTCTTTACACTTTTACACTTTGTATTTTGTTTTCTTTTATAGTTTTACACTTGTTATTTAATAATTCATGTCTTAATAATAATTCATTTGAAACAAACTGATGATAAACACCTACTAAATCACTCGTCATTTAACAAGCGCTTTCAACAACGGTTTGAAATTAATTCAAATTCAAATCAGTGAAGTCAGATCGCGGAACATTTCGACCCCTTCTCTCGAGCCCAGCACACCTCGCACACAACGAAATGTTACGTGTCGGTGTGTCGGAAAACTGAAAGAAGCCGAGGAAGAGCCAAGGTAGCTGCGCGATAGAGGAGAAATAATACCCCCACCGTGCGTCGCGGAGAAATACATGGACACAATACACATTATTTTATACATCGGCTTCCCTCGGTTGTTTCCGACACACCGACACGTAACATTTCGTTGTGTGCGAAGCGTCCTGGGCTCGAGAGAAGGGGTAGAAATGTTCCGCGATCTGGCTTCACTGATTCAAATTCAAATACTAGGGACCACTCGTAGAAGGGACGCGCCAAAGAATTTTGGGGGACCGGAACTCATGTAGTCACGTGATTGCGCGCGAATGAATCAAACATTTTAAATAGTATAAATGTTGTATATAGTAATAGTGAATAGTGTAGGGGGTAGTAAAATATTGTAAAACTAACGAAAATACTAACTATCTTAAACAATAATAACCAAATATTAAAATACTAAATATAAAATACTAAAATATTAATCATTCAAATATTATACAATTTTTTTATTTTTCTAGGAATATATTTCCAGAAAATAGCTTTTATTACAACTATCGAAAATTGGGAATTGATGTTGATGCCATTTTATGAATACCCAGGAATCCTAGCTGATTTATTAATATTGGAAATTAAAAACAAATTGTACGAATGATTAAAATAATTGTAAATATAATATATATAATAGATAATTGTATTTATCAAAATTGTATAAATTCCTACAAGTTGTTTTGAAATTTCAAAATACTGTAATGCCTTTTATCAAATCAAATTAATTGAATCTTTCTTTTTGAATTTATAATAATTTTTTTGTGTAATCTATTCTATTTTAATATAAATTTTTTAATTATCATTAAATATGGTTCATTTTTTTTCTGTATTTGATGCAATTCATTATTTCATAATATTTTCAAACCAATTCACCATTCTACCCCCTACATTATTCACTATTACTATATACAACTTTTATACTATTTAAAATGTTTGATTCATTCGCGCGCAATCACGTGACTACATGAGTTCCGGTCCCCCAAAATTCTTTTGCGCGTCCCTCCTACGAGTGGTCCCTAGTTGTCTAGTTGTGGTCATATTTTTTACAATTAAAGTCCTATAATTAAAATGTCATTTTTTACATTCATAAAGTAAAAAAGACATGAGTTTAAAATAAATCGATCAACTTGAACACGATTTATATAATTTTAATTAAACTCGCACCGTTTTATGAAATAATTTTGTTTTTTATATAAGCACAAATGCCATTAATAACGTTTTAAGAAAATATTATTATCCCATATTTATAAGTATTTTCATTTTTGTATGAAATTTTAATATTTAAAACAATTAAATGAAAAAAAAATTGTTTGTTGAATGTATATGTAATTTTGATTTCTAATGGCTTTTCGTGTATTAAATGATAATATCATTAATATAATAATTTTCTTATTAAAGATGGCTGTTTTCATCGCAACGAATCCTTGAAGAGTTTTAAGGATGCTGACTGTCTCGTCCAATCATTGTTGAGTTATAGAAGAAATTCTTCTCATTCATCTAGTATTATAAAGCCGCTAGTACTAAAGTAGAAGACAAATAACAAAATACCAGTAGTACACAGAAGATAGTGGAATGTAATAGAATGCGTGTTCACCGCGAATATAAACGACATGATGGGTACCAAAACATCCTATGATTATATTTCCAATTCCGATGATACAGGTAAACAGATATGCATTAGTAATTATAGAATACAACAATAATATAAATACCGATTTTGGTATAATTAAGTTAATAAGATATGATTGCAAAAAACCGTCTGCTGCGCGTCCTTACGACGTCTGCTAGATTAATGTTTAGAAAATATAACAAATTAATTTTATTGAAAATATTCATTTTTTCATACTCGACGACGTTAATTGCATAAATAAATGTATGTTCACAAAATTTGATTAATATTATTATTATTGCATTGCACATTACGAGCTACGATTACGAAAGAAAAAAATCATCTATGACATATTTTGATTATGCCTGTCAATTATAGAGAATTGATAATAGAATATGTTTTATTGTGAAATATATTGAAAAAAATAATATGTATATCTCATATTAAATGATTATAGGCATCATGGGAAGAAGTAGTCCTGCTGCTTTGCTGGATATGCTAGCAGAAGTTGCATCTCGTACTTTATATTCGGAGAAAAAGGAAATGAAATCATTATTAAGCTCCCAATGTAAAACTAAATCGGATGTTGTGAAACGTAAAGCTCAAGAAATGCGTTTAAATGTACCTCAACTTTTATCTATGCCAATGTCCCAGTTGGTGAAACAATTTTCTGTCTTGACTAGCGACGAGCTTAAAAGACAATTTTCATATACCTGTACGCTTGTAGATGGATGCGAACAAAAATATAAAAGTTTTGCAAGCGAAGGAAAAGCTAGGAAATCTATGAAAGCACATTTGGCTGAACATTTAGAATACTTCAAATCTAATGAACAAGCCTGTATGTATAATTAACTTATATATATATATATGTCAGACAATTAGAATTGTTAGATTCATTTGAACAAATTCATCATTTATATTGTTTCTTTTTATAGATTACACTTTCACCACTAAACCTATAAAATATAAAAACTTCAAATCAAATCTACAAAACAAAAGTACACGTTTACATCAATCAAAGAAACCTAGAAGGATTTTAAATAAAGAAAACAAAGGAAAACAAACAGATTATTTGCATAAAATTTTGTCAAATGATAATACAAATTTTGGAAAATTTGAAAAACATAAATCTACAGCAAGAACTGAAAGTTTGAATAGCTTAGAAACAAAAAAGTCTGAACATATAGATGTTAAGGTTCTTGGTGATCATAGTTATTTTGAGCATTTAAGAGAAGAAGCTTCTAATGAAACAGAAATAACATCATCTGATAACATATTAAATGATTCATCAAGGGAAGAAAATGTTAGTAAAATTTTTCTTTATTATTATAAAGAAAACAATGTAATATAGTATGTAGTATAGTAAATTTGTTTTATATAAAATTTGATATATATAATATATCTTGGAAAAAAATATATTTTTATTGTTACAAAGTTCCTACTATAATAATAATAATAATAATAATAATAATAATAATAATAATAATAATAATATATCAAATCAAAATCAATATGTAGAAAGAAATGAAAAAATAGTGACTTTAAAATATCAATAGTAGTTAGTATATCTCTCATTTTCTGTTCATTGTAATCATTATATAATCTTAAGTATACTTATTTTTAGATTGTATTAATGATGGTTGATACCGACAACATACGCATGAAGGACTATTCCCATATTAAAGGCAAAATATCGGACAATTTAAAGCATCAAGACACAGGAACATTATACATATCAGGCAAGTAACTTACAAAGCAATAAGATTGGAATTTCTAAATAATAAACATATTTTGTACTAGGTTATGCTATAATGTTTTTCATCAACTTATTGAGTATAAATCAATAACAAATATATAAATTCACGCAAGATGAATAAATCTTGTTGTACTTCATTACATCATACAATTTAATTTATTCTACATGTTTTGGCATATTATTATGCAATTGTCCTATATATAACCATTGCTTTGTATAATTCTCAAGTAAGCTATTATAATCTTATATTTGATTCTGAAATTATATAATATGAGACATTAATAAATAAACTATATGGTTTCGAATATTACTTACTTTGTATGAACAGATTTATATGAAATTGCTTATTATTTTTGTCTAGATGTACCTTGGATAGAAGGAAGTTGCAAAAAGAAAATGGACTTATCGACAAGTGTAAAGCCTAAGGGAAAAGCGAAATTCATAGGAACCAGTAAAGAAGAACGAGAATTAGCATTAGCATTTATGGATCGTATCAAAAAGAAAGGAAATCCAACGGGCAGTAATCTTCAGTGCCACATTTGCGATCCACCACGTAGTTTCACAGCACCCACTACACTAGTATCGCATTATCGAAGTCATGCAGGAATAAAGCCATATGAATGTCGAATATGTAGAGCAGTATTTACAAGAAGACATAGTTTGAAGTATCACATGTTGATTCACCAAAATCAAACAAGATTCACGTGTGCTGATTGCGGAAAAAAGTTTAGACATCCATCACACTTTAGAGAACATCGTCGTAGACATACCGGAGAATCTCCATTTTGTTGCAATGATTGTAGTCAAAGGTAAATATTCATTTTCAAAGAAAATGAAAATTAACTTTTATTTTAATATTAATTTTTATATATATCTTTTTTATTATAGATTCAAAACAAGAAACACTTACAAACGTCACTTAAAAACACGTCATGGAAAAGTTCTTACTACAACTGGTGAACTTTTGTTCCTTTCTGAAGAAGACTTTGAAAAAGTACGGACTAATAGAAAGAAAAAAATAGATTGCCACGATAATAAAAGCACAGCTGTAGATGAAGATATAATAGCTACCAGAACAATTATGAATTTTCAAGATAATATTGAACCTCAAGAAATATCTAACGATGTTTTAGAAGAATATATCATTAATAAAAATTGCGATGGGAATAGAATTAACAAAGCTATTGATACGATACCAATTATAGATAAATATTATGAGAATTATGATATTTGCTCAATACCATTTTTTAATAAGACTGAACATCTAGAAGAAAGTGTATCTTTAAATGACAACAGTGATAATAATATTACAGAATCAGATCGAAAAGATATAAATAGAATGCAAAGTAATTTTCAACAAAATTCTTATGATAATGTAACAGTAATCAAAACTATGGAAAATCAGCCTTTATTAAATAAATCTTTAAGGAATGAACATAAAGTCGTATGTGAATATTTAGATAAAGAATCATATGTACAATCATATTATTATAATGAACATATTCAATCAAGCAAAGAAACAAATAATCACCTGCAAGTAGTAGAAAGTCATCATTCAAATTATAAAAATGCATCAAACTTTGAAGGACAAAATGTTCAATTTGTGTTACATTTAACGAAGAAAATGGAACTTGAAACTGTAGATAAAAGTACTAATTGCAATATAAATACAGTTGGAAACGATGAGTTTTCAAATTCATATAATGTAATACAATCTGAAGAGAAGGAAAGCAATGTGGACACATATATCCATGAAGAAAATTCTATAAGTAAAGATAATTTACAATTACATATACCAGGTGAATTTATTGAAAATTCCACATCTCAAAATCTTAATGATGTTCAGGATAATTTAGGGAATAATATTTTAGTAAGAAATGTAAATGATGAACCTAATATATTAAATTTTGTCAGCAATGAGGTATGTGCTGTTACAAAAAATATAAAAACGAATGAAATTAATGAAAATAAACAACAAATATATATTGATACAGATATGGTAAATAATATTGTTATGCAAAACAAGTGTATTAAAACTTTACCATGTAATTTTATTTTATGTTATCAAGAAAATCAAGAGAAATTGCAAGTTAATGAATCTACAAACGTTACTGTGCTTAATAAGTGTACACAAGGAGTTAATTTAATACAAAACAGAAAGCAGAGTGCAATTTTGTTATTATCAAATAATGCTTCAAAAAATGGTACATTGCAAATTAAATAAAAGATTTATTGACATTGGTTAGATGAACGAATAGTACTAATAAACATGAATAATAATACCAAATATCTGCAAGAAAGAAAGTAGCAATATACCATTAAATATGCACAAATTTACATTTGTGCATTTAATAACAAACCTCGAAAAATAAAATAAATTGGACAGTTCTTATTCAAAATTTAGATTTCATTGTTATATATATTTTTGTTTAAATCTATACTATTTTTATAAATGGTGTTTTAGCCATTATGTTTTATGTGCCTGATTATTTTCTCGTAGGATAAAAAGTAATCATTTTGAAGAGTCAATTACTAATAATATTTTGATATTCATATTAGATATATTTTAACTAATTTAACTTGAAATATTTTATGTATATGATGTACATAAAATTGCACACAAGAAAAGATATAATCATACAAATTTTAACAATAAAAGTAATATTTTCTATATTTAGAGTAATATTTGAAAACATTAAAATATTGCCTAATTTTTATTAATAAAATTAATACTGTTTCTCCTATCCTCTATATAATATGAAAGAAATAATTGCATTCTATAGAAAAGTTTGGCTTTTCATTTTATACTTATTCGTTTACTTCATGTTTATAGTAACAAAGTATATAAATTTACGAAGATGTTATGGTATATTTGTTTTAATTATTGTTAATTTAGTAAAAGATCTGAAATGATAAAATTACAATTAATGCTATTTTTATAATATTATCTATAAAAATAAGACCAATATTCAAATATGATTTATATTTTGCTTTAAAATAACTATTTAATGCAGCTATCAAATAAAAAATTATACATTTTTCTTGGCATATCCTGTGCAATGAAATACAATGACATTTGTGCTTCACATTAGATATTATATAATTAGTTAATAATATTTCTTTATTAGTTTGTCTTGCATAACAAATTTTGGATCTATTCATATATAATATTATAATCTATTCATTAATAGTTTTTATTGTTAAAAGACTTAAGAAATGTATCATTATAATATTTAAGAATGTGGATTGATTAATCATATCTCTTTATTATAGAATTTGTAATTTAGAAACCAATGTGCCAAATTTTCCACATCTATTTCATTACAAATTTTTGTAGCCCTATAATTATAGAGTCTATCTAATATTATCACAGATTTTTATATTAACATTCCTGTAATATAACATATGTTGATCAGACATTAGTTATTACGTTACAAATCCTGCTACAATTATAACAGTTGTTTATGTTCTATTTTTTATATATTTTTATATATATACATATATATAATACGTCATATAAAATTAAGATAATTATCCTGTTAAAGTAAATTTAAATAACATATTAGATATTTTTACGTATTAGTTCATAGCTGTTTAATGTATAGAATATGTCTTATCAATTACTTAATAAGCTTTCATGGAATTACTTGTTATTATGCATATATTATACAAAATTATAAATTAGTATATATATATTGTAGTATATTTCTCAATATATTTTTGTATTATTCTAATCTTATGTTTTACTAATTTTTATATATTCGTGCTATACTGAATTTAATCTTACATCATAAATATTTTGCATTATTTTTTATCTTGCTTTTGTTATTACTTAAAGAAATAGTAATTATCTAATTCACGCAGTTAATTTTTATGTATTTGTACGATTGCTTAATAACACAATAAAAAATTAATAAGAAATTGCAGCTATCAAATAAAATGCAAATAGATATGTGCCTTATGATTTACGTTCTGACAAAGCAGAAACAAAAGTATATGATAGAATAAGAACAGGAATAAGTAATATAACTTACTTATAATTATAGCAATAATATTACAAATAATATGTCTTTATTAAGTAAATTGCAAAAACATACTAATACTATGAATAATAATTATTATTATTATGTATTATATTTTTGTACTTCTTTTATATATTTATCTTTAATAAACTCTTATAAACATTTGAATATATCAATGGTTTTGCCTTTATTATTTATTCTTTATTTATTGTCATTTAAAAAAATATCGTCTAAATACATCTATTCTTTGATAAGTTAATACTAATAAATAATTATTACATTTTCATCAATTTTGTGTCTATCGAAACATGACAACAACAATAAAGAAAAAACAGTAGAAGCGATGTAGTACTCCACGAATCTGCATAAAATTTTTCAATTATTATCATTCAATTATTCAATTATTATTTGTAATTATTTGTGATAAATATTTACCATTTAATATTCGATTTATATATATATTTCCAATTTTTTGTCCTGCAAAGAAAAAAAAATTGGATATTGCAGACATTGCCAAAAGAATACTAGCTAATGCACAGTCAAGTCGTCTTCTATTCCAAGAACTAAGATATTTGTCCACAATTCTATTATATATTTCGGTATTCCCTATTATTCTTGATAAGTTTTCGATGTTTAAACCAATGAAATTCAAAAGTGCCCATGTAAAGATATTGGTTTGCATTCCATGCCATAAAAAAACAAATGTAAAACATAGAAAAGAAGCAAACAATTTTTTATGATAGCCGTTTGACTTAGTAGTATTTATTACAGGTATATAAATGTACCTACAAATAATGATTCAAATTTTATTAATATTCCTGTAATTAGATTTGAATTGTAATAAATGCAAAAGATTAAAATACCACCTAATGAGAAATTTATATAAACCCCTATCAAAAGATTTCCACATATCTGAATATAAATGAATTCTCCCAATACATTTAGGTGGCAAGGGAGCTTCAATGCCATCTGCTTCACATAAAGTTTTGTTAATTCCATAAATAACAACATACTTATTTAGAAAAAATTGTCCCATACAATATCCTAGACCATATAGGGCCCATGAATTTAAATTTTCTACAATCTGTAAAAAAAAAATAAAATAATATATACTGTGAAATATTAGAATTAATAGCCAAAAACAAATCATACCTTTGGATGATATTGAAGCACATTAATATAAACGAAGTGCAGGGAAAATTCAGTAAAATAGTACCAAAAAATATATCTAATTAGATTAGTAATTATTTTCTTCGCTTTCATGAAATTCCACTTTGATGGGAATTTACCCAACTAAAAACATTTTAATGTAATGTTTTATGAACATGTGAATGTTCGTGAATAATGAAATATACATACTGCATTCAAAAATTCGTGATATAAAATCAATGGACCCAAAAAAAGTGTAGGTAAATATAAACAATATGCCAACATTTGAAGATAGTTATTAAAAAAATCTGTAAAATTGATCTTGTCTTGAAATTTGTGCATTTGAAAAGTATTCATATTTTGACTAATAGATCTCAATTGAATCCAACACATTGCGAGTAATAAAAGGTAATGCTCGTCATCGTTGTATTGTAACCACTGGTAAAAGGAACCATTTGGTATTTTACAAACATGTATTATAAATAAAAATAATACATGTACAAGCCAAATAATCTTTTTGCTATTAACATAATTTAGTAAATATAATAGCGATGATTGTGCCAATATACATAACATGCCCACTGTTCCAAAATAATAGCACAGAAAAAGGGTAGATACCGAGGTATACCAGCAACACAATAATTGCTAAAAATGTATATCAATTAATAGTATCATATAGAGAACGTACGTGTTAGTGATTTATAAACATAACATACCATTTCGTTGAATACATTTTTAATGATTTCACTAACTAAATGATGTACAAATATCCAAGGTATTAAAGTAATCATTAATGGAATCCATACTCTCCACTCTTGATCAGAAACATCTTGCTTTCTTCCAATCCATGACCATCCAGATACAAAATCAGAATATACATCATAATAATCTTGAAAATCTAACAATAAAAGAATTATTTATTACATTTATTACATTCCCCCAATTATAGTTATTTATATTTTATCTACTTACGGATATTCGTCAAATAAACGTTGTAAATTGAATAGGCAACTCCACCAATCCACAGAACAAAATACAAAATTCTTTCATATTTATTTGAAAAACAAATACTACTACGCATTGTCGATTTAAATTTACCGCCTAAAATTATGAGTAAGAAAACAAATGACTATATTATAAACTATCAACTATAAACTACAAACTGTACACTATATAAACAATATGTTTATATTGTAAATAAAATAATGTTCATTCTCACAAATAATGTATTTTTTACCAATAATTATTTAAAGTTGTAATTATCAATAAAAATCTACGATACATAAATAAACATTGTCTAAAATTAAAGAATAATTCCATTTTACGAAACTTCATGCCGCTTTTGTTTGGTTTTACACATGAGGCGCTATCTAGATTCATAACGTGTAAATAATTTAAGTACTGCATCTCTTTTAATTTTACATGGCTCATATTTAATTGAACAATTCATATTAGGCACTATTCAAATCGAAAATAAATGACTGAAATTAATAGAAATTAACTATGCAATTGATTGAGGGTTAATAGTTGACGTTTTCTTTTCATCGTTAATTAATTCATTTCAATAGAAATATTTGAAAGTGAGTTGTTATTTTTTTGTACAAAATATTACTTTTTATTAATTTCCTGTCTATTAAAGTTAGATATTGTAATAAAATTATCCTTATTGTTTAAATTCGCAGGTGATGCGTAGAAATGTTGCGCGGAAGGTATCAGGAATATAGAGTTATTACAAATAAAGTAGACAAACCATAGGTGGTTGTATAAGTGGTTGTGTAAGTGGTGTGTAAGTCTCTGCATGAATATAGCAAAAAACGAAAGATTGATGTTGTCTCTCTCTAACTCATGCGGTACCGGCGTATGCGCATTAGCTTGTCCTGCTTATCGTACACGTATGTATACAATACCAGCTACCACGGAGGATAGATACCAGGAGTCCGAACGATATAGGATTTTTCACATTTTTTGTGGTAGTCATTTCTTGACCCAGATCATAGTTCTCTTTTTTGCCACTGGCTGCGCAAGTATTCAAAACATACCGATACTATTATTATTATTATACGTAAATTAAATATAAAATATTAATTTCTTTTTTTAGAATTATTTTTATTAAAAAATGGGAAAGTGTTGTGCAGTTTATGGTTGCCTTAGTGGACGAAAGGCAAGTGAGAATTTAGGAAAAGTGGCTTTATTCAAAGCACCAGAAGTGAGTAACTTCAAAATAATATTAAAAATTTTATGTTAACAAATAGATAATTATTACATTTGTGTAGTTTTTAAATAATATTAATTCCACATTTCTTAAAATATTTTTATTCAGAGCTGTCAATAGTAACAATACTTCCCGCGTATTTAAACGAGTACTTTGTGAAAAGCAACGCGCCCTACCGGCAAAATATCTTGTCCCCTAAATTGATACCATTCTTTCAACATTACGTTCGAACTCCTGGTATCTATCCTCCGTGCCAGCTACTTTAAACTCTACTAGCAGATAATGCGCTGGCGCCACTCAGCGCAAGTTAGAGAGAGACAACATCAACAGTGATCCCATTCGTACGATAATTGGAGGTCCTGTACGATCCAAAATCGTGGCGTACGATCCATTCGGAATTTCGAAAACTTGATGACCTTTTTTTTTTTTAGTCAACAAATTTTGCGAAGGTGCACCCCCATCCCAACCCTCACTCCCACCACCACTCCCACCATCACCCCAACCATCACTACCACCACCACCACGTGTTTGGGAACTTGATGAGTAAAAAAAAAAAAAAAAAGAAAAAAGGTCATCAACTTGGACACTTTTTCCGACTTTTTCAAAATTNACCACCACCACCACGTGTTTGGGAACTTGATGAGTAAAAAAAAAAAAGAAAAAAAGGTCATCAACTTGGACACTTTTTCCGACTTTTTCAAAATTTTGTCCGAGATTTGTCGGATTTCAAATTTTCCCGGGGCGTACGATAATTTTCTGCCGCGTACGATAATTTTGCGCCCCTGTGTCGATCAAACGAACTAAAATCTCTGGGATCACTGAACATCAACCTCCCATGTTCTATCTCTTTTTATTTCACCGACAGGTTTTATGCTGGCTTGTCTGCTCTATGTGTAATATCTCTATGATCAGGAAGCACGCTTGTGCAATCCTATGCATAGAATGAAGTTAGTCTCTTCGTGAGTACGTAACATGTTCTAAGAATTGTATATAATATGCTCCAAAATAAATATTAACTGAACTGATTCAAAAAACCATAATATACTCTAGTCAATTTTATGTTAAGAATGTGCAATTTGTCAATTGACTTTTATTAAAGATTCATTCGATTCATTTTTGCAATAAGAAATATTTTATAAACATGTTAAGTGTCATCTTAAATCGTCAACTATGTAAAGCATTAAGAACTGATAAGAATATTTGGGTTACATCGTTTACCTATACAACCAATATTTCAAGACAAAATATCTTAATGAAAGAAAGAAGACTTACCAATGTTGGACCATACCCATTACCAATTCTAGGAATACGGGTAATATACAATGTTTAATAGTACGATAAGATAACCAATTTTTATTTCAATCAAATCTGCTTTATAATATTATAATATATAATAAATAAATATTAAATATTAGTTTATTGAAAACTAATATCTTAAAAATCATATACAATTGAAATGTGAAAAGATTTTTTCTTGAATTTTAGGTTATTTATAAGTTACAAAGTAATTCTGTGATTTATTATTAGTTATAAACTTTTAGGAATGATAGAGGAGATAATCATGAGTAACATACTTATTGTATAATATAATATAATTTGTAAATTGCTGAAATGTTGAAAAGCCTAACCTATAATATAACATTATAATGCATTTGCATTAATAAAATAGTTGCTGTATGGAAGTTTTTTTATAACAATCTCATCTGTCATTTCTAAATATTTCTAATAAATGTACACATATAGAATCACTCTATATAAATAAGAACAAGAGGAATATATTAAACACGTAAACTATTTGTTTGTACTTATTGTTTCTGCAGAATACCTAAATATTTTCTTATATCACAATGGGTCGTACGTCACGGAAACGTCAAAAGAAGAAATTAAATATACAAAAATTAAAGTCCGAAGAAAATGATGCTATGAATTTTTTAAAATATTGGTTATTTCCAAACTCTTGTTCTACTTCTAACTTTATTCCTACTAATTTTCCAATTACTGGCAGAGGTTTAAAAACAATAAGGAATATCAAAGAAAATGAAATTTTAATTAAATTACCTATTAAAATGTTAATAACGACACTTACCGTGTCCGAATCTAATGCTAGAATTTTATTTTCAAAGGATCAAAGTTATAATGTTCAACATATACTTTCAGTATTTTTAATATATGAAGACCATTTGGGAACTTCATCAAAATGGTATCCCTATATAAATTCACTTCCACTTAATTTTTCTACGCCGGAATTTTGTACGTCAAAAGAAAAAAAATTTTTACCTAATTTCATTCAAAAGCACATATATAATGTACATAATATAGTAAGACATTTTTCTTTTTTATTGCGAAGCATAGAAACATTAAAAGAAAAAGAACAAAATTATTGCTCTCATTGTAATATTCCTCTTGAAACAATAATGACATTTAATAAATATAAGTGGGCGTATTATGTTGTAAATACCAGATCTGTATATATAAATGAAAAAGAGATACAGGATAATTTCTTAAAAATAAAATCGCCAAATAATTTAGCATTGGCACCATTTTTAGATTTATTCAATCATGACATAAATGCTTCTGTATCAGTTTCATTAATTGTAGATGAATATAAAGATAAATTCTATCAACTTTCTACTTTGAAACCATTTGAAAAAGATTCTCAGGTCTTTATCAATTATGGTCCTCACAACAGTCTTAAATTGTATATAGATTATGGTTTTTTTATACCTAATAACCCATTGGATGAAGTTGTTTTCAATATATTTGATATCCAATCATGCGTTACAATATCAAAACATGCATTCAAATTTATTGTGTCTAATAAATTCAATGAAAACATGGCTTTTACGAGAGATGGTTTGAATTACAATGCCATTATTACATTATTTATTGCTAGTACTGTTTTAGAAAAAGATTGTTGGAATATAAAAGTATATGGGGCATCTTTTAGTTCAGAAGATCACATTAAAATATATAGTTTAGGTGTACAAATTTTACATTTAAAAATGAATGAATATTTGAGTTACTTAAATAGTATGAATTATATTCAAAAATGTAGCCAGAGTTTTTTAAATGCAATCAATCTTATAAAAGAATATATTGAAATATTAAATGTATCATTGACAAAATTAGTATAAATAAGAAAATATGCATTTATTTTATATAATATATTTATAATGGATAATTATTCAATTATTTTAAATTTATACTTGAAAAGTATACACACATATATGTAAAATATTTGAAATAAATATATATTACATAAAAAAGACTTGAATATAATTTACAAATTTAATCTTTCAAAAAAAAAAAAAAAATGCAATATTTTTGACACGCACTCATAGCAAATAAACATTGAATTTACAGTACTGCACTGGAAATTTAATAGATCGGGCACAAAAAAAGAAAAATGTTCCACAATCAAAATCAGTTGTCTCTCCTGTTAAATATATATTATCAGTTACGGGCATAACTGGAGGAAAGCCAGGACAACAGAAAAGAAACTGTTTCCATCCAGGTGCATCTAGTTTAAACAGAGATGCAATGTCACTAAAAGAACATACATCAGTTACTTCAACAGATATGCTCAAGGCAATGCTAAAATATATCTGGCCAGAAGTAAGTTGAATAATTACAAATATTCATTCCAATTGACTTTCATACTTATTTCTATAAATATTTAGGATGATCCAGAAATTAAAAAAAGAGTTAAATTAGCAGTTGGATTATTAATTGGTTCCAAAGTTTTAAACGTAACTGTTCCTTTTATTTTTAAATATGCTGTGGATAGTTTGAACCAGCATAGCATTGAAACTACTGGCAAGGCTATATTGACGTTGGGAACTGCTCCTGAAACTATCACTACAGTTGCAACTTCATTACTTATAGGATGTAAGAATTCTTTCCACATATCTTTTTTTTTTTATAAATATTACATATATCAATTTATATGATTTTTTATTATTTATTGTAGATGGTATTGCTCGTGCTGGTGCAGCTGGTTTCAGTGAATTAAGAAATGCCGTATTTGCAAAAGTTGCTCAACACTCAATTAGAAAAATAGCTAAAAATGTATTTTTACATATGCATAATCTTGATTTAGCATTCCACCTGTCCAGACAAACTGGAGCTCTATCTAAGGTAAATGTACATTTATAATATTTTTCATAAAGTCTTATATTAATATTATCATTTTGTTTAACATATAGGTAATAGATAGAGGAAGTCGTGGTATCAATTT